GTGGAGACCGGTATTTGTTTATTGCAGATATTTTGGTACAGATGTACAGTTGAAACCAGAAGTTACGCTGTATAAAAAGACACGTAACGTTTTGTTTTCTCACTATCTGACATTAAATGTGACTGAACTTTTCCTGTTTGAGGTCACTTAGGATTACCAAAATAATTTCTATTTGCTAAACGCCAAAATAATGAGTGAAGGGATTTTTTAGAAAATTGTTCTTATTTTCTTCAAAGTCAGAAGTTTTTTTTATTTGATTTTTTTATTAAACTTTATTTGTATAGCACCTTTTAAGAACAGAATTCACAAAATGCTTTTACATAGTAAAGAAATACAACATAGTGAGACAGGGCAACACAGGAAAACATTTGCAAACTGTAATCTGGCTTTTTTATGTTGCTTTTGGCGCAATGTCTTCTTCCTCTCTGAGTAGCCTTTCAGCCCATGTCAGTACAGGACTGGTTTCACTGTGGATAACGACACTCTCTTAACAGCTTCAGCAGCATCTTCACAAGGTCTTTGCTTTTGTTCTGTGGTTGATACGGACATTTCACACCAAAACACGTTCATCTCTGGGACACAGAATCCATCTCCTTCCTGAGTGGTATGATGGCTGGACATTCCCATGATGTTTATACTTGCGTATAATTGTTTGAACAGATAAATGTGGAACCATCAAGCATCTGGAAATTGTGCCCAAGGATGAACCAGACTTGTGGAGGTCCACAATTCTCTTCCTGATGTCTTGGCTGATTTCTTTAGATTTCCCCATGTCTTCACAAAAGGAAGCAGAGTGTTTGAGGTGTGCCTTAAAATACATCCACAGGTGTTCCTCCAATTAACTCAAATGTTGTCAATTAACCTATCAAAAGCTTCCAAGGCCGTGACATCATCATCTGGGCTTTCCCAAATAGTTTGAAGGCATAGTAATGTTAGTGTGTGTAAACTTCTAACTTTGAAGAAGACAATAAAAAATTATTTTAAAAAAATATCTCTCTCATTATACTGGCATTTAGCAAATAGAAATCATTTTGGTAATCCTAACTGACCTAAAACAGGAAAAGTTTAGTCACATTTAATGTCAGATAGTGAGAAAAAAAGGTTACATGTCTTTTTATACAGTGTGTGTAAACTTCTGGTTTCAACTGTAGTTAAGCAACAATTAATTTTAATGTGTTAACGCAAAAAAATATGTAAATAAATGAGTGGTATATCATTGTCATAAATAATTAGCAGTATCAGTGTTGGTTTAAAAAAAAACAAAAAAAGTCTTCCGGTCAGTGTATTAGAAAATATACATCCATCATCCTGTTCTCCACAGAGCTAAAAAGTTTCCACTTCTCTGAAACAGAAATCCATTCAGCCTGTTCTTTCAGCTTTATGTTATCATAGCATGCTAACATAAGGCTAACATTACCATGATGGCAATAGGGACAGACTTTCAACAGTGGAGCTATTGTATGTCATCAGATTTTTCACATCATCACTCATCGTTTTTTGGCTTTTTGTTGTTTTCTTGCGTTCTTCACCAGTTCAACAGCATCAACACTATTTTCTATTCTTCTAATTGTATTCCTGTGTTTATTTTTAGTAGAGGCATATTAAATAGCTCAGTGAGCTACATTTAGAGGAAAGAATTGACTTTACCACCTACAACCTGGCACCATTCTGCCTTCCTTTGACTTTTAGACTGTTGTAGCATGGGTCATACTGAGGCTCTGAGACTTTGTAACAGAAGCCAGTAATGCTCAGGGCAATGGAGAGTATAATGTGTTCTGGAAAGAAAAAAAAAAAAGCTTGCTCTATTTTTAGGAGCATAAAGATTTGGTTTCCACTCCAGATGAAAACTATAGGCCTGTATAATGTTGCTGCTGCCTGGGGACACGTGCAGAATGACACACAGATACACCAATAGACGGTTGGACTGAGGAACGGGTAGCCGTATCAGGTTGATGAGATAAACAGGGTAGTATTGATTTGAAAAATGGAAACAGGCAGAGGAAGGGAGAAAAGACGAAATACAAGTGCTGATGTAATGCATGAAATAGCACCTTATCTAGTTTGATGACCCAAAAGAAAACACCACTCGCCCACATACCGTTGAACCCACTGACGTGTGATGCATATGTTGCAATATAGCTGTGTTTTCATCGAACTGTCAAGCAAATTTGATGCAAATATTTACAATCTTGAGAAAAACCTAGAACAAGAAACTGCAAATAAGGCTTGTTTCCAGTAGCTGCTTTGGAGCCAGTATACCAGACTGTGTAGTGTTGTCAGAAGGTGGTCACATGGGCTACATGTAGAGGAGAAGAGTGGAAGAAGCCAGAAACAAAATCAGTAGTTTGTCAACTGCAATAAATTAATAGAAAACCATCAATATAACCAACAACTACATTGAGTATACTGACAAGAGAAAAAGGGGATAGAAGTCTTCAGTAATAGATGTTCATGATTTTTGCCATGTTTTTAGAACTTATTTCAAAAATGTGTGTCCATCTCCCATGAAGTGCATTAACTGTTTTTCTTTTTGACTTTTCAGAAAATTCTAAGTTGCACTTTTAGCTAAATTTAAAAAAGCAAACAAACATTTTTTAAAAAACAAACTTGTTCTCTTGCAGTACCTCAAAATGTTCATAAAAATATGCCATGGAAACCTGATTATATAGATTTAATCAGCTGTGTGTGTTTTGACATGTTGAAATGCTTGTATACTTAGATTTCTTGTCACCAAGGAACACATTTCAAGAGATTTTATGGGACATGGTTAATCTATGAATGGAAAATAACACTGGAGTACTAATCAGGTAGTTTTAAGAAATATACTGACCATTAAGTTCTCTTTTCAGTGTCATCGTTACAAGCAATGCTCTAATTGTATCAAATGACGGTCAGATGATCATGATAGAGAAACTTTCCTGGAATGGACATGAAATACAAGCTAGAGAAAGTTTACGTTGCAACTTAAACCTTTCAAAGATATGAAAAATGCAGGAATTAAACACTATACTTAGACGTAACAGTGTGTAATTGAGAAAACAGCAGTCGGATGATTTACACCTTTGTGAAAGTTGACAACCTTTGATCCAAATTACTTATGGTTTTCATGTCTATTCATCTATCCGTTCATGCGTCATATCTTACCCACAGCTGGTTACGTTGTGATAACTGCTTGGGGAGTGATTCACCTCTGTGCTGCTTTCTAGCAATTTGTGAATTACACTCGCTGGCACAAGGAGCGACATACCATACAACTCCAGGTCAAGACATGCTGACATGCTGACATGCTCTTGCTGGTCCAAGTCTGGAGAGCCTCATTTGTCTGGAAATTTAGCGTTTATTGTTTGATTGTTCCTGCCCTTAACCAAATTTTTGTTGCCAAGCACTACCATTCAAAACTGCTTAGTTGCGGAGATTGTGTTTGTCACCAGGCAACATTAGCTCAGTAAAACAATTATGTCAGAGATGCAGAGGGAACTGTTGTCACTTCGATGTTTCCAAAAGACTCATTCAAGTTTATTTGCTTGTTTTTTGCAAGATTGTTGCATTCAGCTTAAATGTCTTTTGAGCCTCTGTGCCACATGTTTACATGTTCACATCTTCACATACTTCCTAAATGGTAGATCTAAAGTAGAAAAGCTGCTTTAGCATCTTGTTTCATTGTGCTTTCTTCTGGCAAAGAGCAAAAACCCGAGGTGAATCACAAAGAGACTCATATATCCCTGTTTATCATGTTGGCTACATACTTGGAATTACAAGCCTGAGAAAGTTTGTCCGTGTAGCACAAAGGGCATTTAAGGTGCTTTACCTAAGGGAAACCAAAACAGAAAATATAGTCAGTGAAACTAGATTAAAATGTAACCAGACCAAAAAAAAAAGACAAATAGTGTAGTTACAAATGATGTAATAGTGACAATAAAGTGTAACTGACTAAATGAATGTCAAAAATTCACAGAAGAGTATTTAGATAAATTTGAAATTGGCTAAAAGCTGTTGTGGAAAATAAATATGTGATTGATTTGCTTTGCTCTGTGAGAGTTGCATGTAAAATTAAACAAGATGTCAGCACATGTGACATTCTTAGTTGTGTGAAAGCACAGGTGCTGAAAATGCCATGACTCCAGAGGCAATGTTCCTACAGAGGAACAACTATGTGACTGCTTTGTAAACAGCCTAGGAAATGTCTGCATTATTCAGTTCTCCTCAAGCATTTAAAATCCTATTTTCACTCAAGGCCATTAAGAGATTTATAAAATCCAGCAGCAGCATTTACCAGAACATTTATAGCTACAAGCCTGTCATAATGTGCTCAGTCCTTCTGATTGTTGCAAGTATGAATATATCTCTTATGTGGATGTGAATTCTCAAGTTGTTGCTATTTATTGTCATCACAAAAGGCTGATTCAGTTATTGCTTTGGTGTGGCTGCTGAGGTCCAGATAAAATAAAGAGCAGTTCTATTCTCAGTAATGTGTTCATTCAGACGGTGACAACCCCTGGAAGTTACACCTGGAGGCCCCTCTGATAAACATGCTCAGATGACATCGTGTTTGAATGTGAAAGCACAAATACACAACAAATACTGTCACTGTTAGAGGATGCTGAGAGGGAAAGTATGTCGCACTGTGATCTCACTACCCACACATGCCCGTGCTGTATCGGAAAGCGACTTTCTTGTTTTCTCTGTGTGCGTAAGTGTGTTTATGCAAGTGTGTGAGGCAGAGAACAAGAGAGAGTGCGTGCCAGACACAGAGACCAAAACTCTCTGTTTTGGGCTCAAGCAGCAGATTTCTCTATGATAATCAGCTGGATTGTCTTGCACGCACAACATCTGTCTCAAGCACACACAAACATGGCCATTATATAGTCATTACTGTCAGGCTGATTCTGTACAGCCCTCACTAACATGCTCTTTCTCTCTTATCCATCCCTTCCTTCCCTACGTCCTTTCTTTGTCTTGTTGTTTCTGCTGCCCTCTCTCCTCTTTCTTCCTCCATCCAGACGGTTTCAATCTTGGAGCAGCGTCTGACACTGACAGAGGACAAGCTCAAGGAGTGTTTGGAGAACCAAATGGAGATCGGTTTACATCTCCAGAGAGGAGAGGAGGCTTAAAGATGGCGACAGAAAGGTTGAGCTGTGGTGTGGTGTAGTGTGTTGTGGGGGGAAATTACGGTCACAGCAACACCATAGACAGAACTTTACGTAATGTTGCTGGTAAAGATAGGAGATTTTACATATTCATTCGCGCATTCACATGTACAGCGAGGACCTTAAATGCACACTGAGCCTTACTGCTGATGCAAGGTTTCTGGTTATTTCACAAAGAGATATCAGACGTGAAGGAGGTGAATATTAGAGAAGTTCCTCTACAGCAGTGCTGAGCGCGCAGTCTCTTTTCTGCTGACAAAGGACCTGTGGCTACCAGTCCTCTGTGTGTGTGTGTGTGTGTGTGTGTGTGTGTGTGTCTGTGTGTGTGGGTGTGTGTGTGTGTGTGTGTGAGAAAGTCACAACACACACCACATAAAGAGGACTTTCATGCTTGCCTGTGCACTGCGCATGTGTTCATTTTTATTTCAGTTTGTCTTCCACAGAATGGCATCAGTGGAAAAGCCCATTTATGTACGTAAACTACCAAATTGTTCATTGGCATGTTTAACACATATTAAAGGATACGTCTGTGTTTCTGTTATTGTCAGCCGATCCCAAGACTCTAACCACCGTGTGCTGATGCTAGTAACAGGCTAATGCTTGATGCAAGGTATTCCTCTGTGTCGCAGACCTCCATTGTTGTCCAACAGCTGGTAAAAACACGTTAGTAAGCCACGCTGAAGAATGCATTTGTTTATTACGGTATTTTCTGTACAGCACCTGTGAAGCACCTTGTTTACTTCCTAACTTCCTCAGTTCCTTTGAAGAGGTCATTGAGTTTAGTGTCATGAACAGGGCTGGGGAAGTAAAACACATTTGGGGAATTGTTGACAATAAGAAAAATTTAAAGTGACACCAGACGGATTTTCTTTTTCTTTTTTTTTACTACTGTTTGAAAGACAATCATCCAGAGCCATCCCTGTTTATCTTGTGGCTTTTATACACTGAAAGTAAGTTATTGTGTACACTTCTTGAATGTTTTAAACTCTGGCATGAAATTAGTTAATAAAGTCATTCTGGGTTCTCTTTCTTAACACTGAGCACTGTTTGTGTATCGAACCAGAGAGAGTTTGTTTTCATAATCACTGCCAAATCGATGATGTCACGGGTTCATTTTAAGAGACTGCTTCATCCTCTGGTCCGCTGAGCTGAAGCGAGTTACCGGAGAAATCATGACTTTCCTGTCTTTATTGTCCTCAGCAGAGATGTTAAGATCATGAGCTGTGAGCTGTGTCATCCATTGCTCACGGCCAGTAATTTTCAACCCTTTCTTTGCCAGATTTTAAGCGATGATTTATTACAAAAGCACGGGGGTGGCTGCTAAATATGCCTTCCCTGCTTGTGTCCAAAATCCTTATGTTTCACCCCCCGAGTAATTTACGTAACTTGACCACTGGTGCTGGATCAGTACTTTTATTTTTAGAAGCTTCAATGAAAATGAGCCCGAAGCTATGCTTACACACACTCTGTGATTTCTCCAGGAACAGATTCAGCTAAGCCATAACTATTCATTTGTTTTATTTTATATATATTTTTTGTATTTCACAAACTGATGATATGATTATAAAGTAATGAGTGACACTGAGTCCTATTATGGAGGCCTCAGTCAGTCTGAGAGAACAGTGCAGCGCCATTAAGAGGGGAAAATATTAATGACTGTTTCTTTAAGAACCGGCTCGGCCTGATGGAAAAAGAAGAAAAACAAAACCGGAATTCTGGAGCTGTGCTGCCGGGCCCACTCTCTTCCTTCCTGTCTGGGGCCCACGGACACACACAGACACACACACACACACACACACACTCACACACTCACTGACACACAGACACTCCAGCCAGAGAAAACAGCTCCCTTTACTATGGGCCTCAACCAGACGGCCTGCCAGGAGCCCTAGTGGAGGAGAGGAGGGGCTAAAAGAGTGGGTTCAATAACTGCTAAGCTGGTGTGTTTGCTCCTGTACATCTGTCTTTGTGAGGACCAAGTCTTGTTTTCCGCTGGTCCTCTGTTTAAACCAGACCGTCATAGGCCTGTCTTGGGAGCCAAGATTTTGTTTTGGAGTTAAAGTTAGGTTCAGGTTTAAGTTCAGCTTAGAGACAAAATCAGCAAGTGAATTAAAATTTAAAAATTGCAAATCTGCAACTGTTTTGACAATTCATCAGTTGTTAAAGTAATTTTTCAAGTGAAAATGCCAAGCATTCTTTTGTATTTCTGCTCAGGATTTGTTTCCTTGCTGTTTTATATCATTGTGTGCTGAACATCTTTTGGTTTTCGTCCAACAAAATTAAGACCTGATTTGTAAAAAGTGGTAATTTTTCACTACTTCCTGACATTTTCAGGTCAAATTATTAATCAAGCATAATACTGACAGATTAATTATTAACGAAAATAATTTGTAGCTGCAATCTTTTTTCAGTTGAAGGTAGCGCCACCTTAAGTCTCTGTTCATTTGACTGATTTCACTCCATCAACATGGCAGGGCATCTGGCAAAAATGTTACCCTGCCTTATCTTTTGCAGAGTGACAACATCCGCCGGTGATCAATCAAACGTGCCCATTCTTCATAGATTACTTTACAGCATTAAAACTGAACTTGTAATGTTTACCTAACTTTTCAGAGCAGCAAAATCCCTTTTCAGAGTAAGACAAACTTCTGTGCAGTGTTTTGGCACCTGATAAGTCTCCAGACTAATGGATTTTTTACTCAAACTTGAAGCAACCCGCCCTCACCAAGCAGCCCATTAACATTTGCGGTTACGTATGCAGTTGGGATGGTTATGGTTGGTGTTGGGGCCTACAGAGAATGCACTATGTCAAATAAGGTCCTTACAAATATAGCTGTGTAAATGCGTGTTTGTGTCTGCGCACTAGAAAGAAAGGGGAGAAAAGAAAAGTTGAAGAGCGGACCGCTGTAATATGTAGCCCATGTGTGGCCACAAGTGTGTGTGTAGGAGGGGGTTGGTGATCCTACGAGGAGAACATCTGGATATGTTTTTCCTGGTGTGCTGTGGTTGCCGCCGCTGTTTGCCTGTGTGTGTGTTTAAGTGCTTTATTAGTTCACTGTGTCAGATCTTTTCGCTCTCTTGCGCTCCTTGGCTTTTTGTTTCCTCCAACTTTGTGTCATATTCTGACAGTTTTATGAGACAGAAATGATACCTGTGTGCTCTGACTCAAACTTGTGTGCCCTGTAGCAGCAGGTGGAGGCTGTGCTGCTGCCACACTGTTTTCCCAAATTATCTACTGTCAGTGTGTAGTCTTAGAGCTGCAAGTTGTACCCATTTGTGTTCTGAATGGTTATTTTCTGACCAAAATACTGAAATAGTCATTTCATCAGTGTGGTGGTCACTGCTTAATGGGCTTATGGGGAACTGAATGTTTTGTAGTTCTAGGAAATAAATGAGAAGCGGTCTGAGGATACAAAGTACACAGAAGAGTTGTGAGGAACTTTAGTAAAATAACATAGAACAACCCAGCAGTTTGGAAACCATAAGTTGTGATGTACAAAAGTTTCCAGTGAGTCAGAGCAAAGTCAGGTGCACTGTAAGTTTTTACAAGCCCGGAGAGATGTTCAGAAACACAGCTACATGCAAGGGGTGGACAAAATAATGTAGACATCTCATGTAAAAATGATTGAACTACGCTGGAAGTTAACCCCAATTAATAACACTAGTGAGAAAAAAGAGAAGTGCCCCATTTATCCTGAACGACAGTTTCTCTGCATTTGATATTTTCAAAGCAACATGAGCTAATAGAGATCCAAAAAAGACAGTACTATTTCTATGTAACCTACATTAAATGTCAAGAAGGTGGTGCAACAAATACCTGTAATCTTACTGCAACCTAATTTTGACCCACTTTAGTGGTTGAATCAGTGATTCGTTCTTTTCTATAACTGTTTTTCTACAGTGTTTTATAGCTGAGGCGGTCCTTCCACGGACATCATTAATCATCATTAACTTTGGGAACAGAAAAAAGAAATGAGTTTTCAAACACACAACAAATTCATTATATTTAATGACTGGTTGCTTGGGTGTAACAGTACACAAAAATCAATATGTTTTCGGTGCAACAAAAACAGACTCATAACAAAAAACAATTGAACACCAGTTTACTGAACAGATGATGACTGTCGTTCTTTAAAAAGTCTCTGAATATTGCTACAACTGGTTGCAACCAAGAAATAGAAAAGATGCAGTTCTTCCAAATGTTCTTCGGTCCCTCTTCCTGCCTGAAACTCTGATGTCTGTTCAACATGACACTGCTATCTTAAAAGCTTCACACATGGCACTGGCCTATAGTTTATCCTGTAGCTTACTTAACACAGTTCATAGAAAGGAAATATTGACAAAAGTTACAAATTCTTATGTTGATGGCATACAGAAACTTTTCTTGGCACAGTTTGTGTTGTAAATAGCTGTGCTAAAGTCATCCAAACAAGGTCAGCACTCCTGGTTTGTTTACTACAGAAAATTGCCTCAGTTTGGTAAATAGCTAGCTGAAGAGCTAATTGGGATAGCCACATGCAGCTATTCTTACTGGTCGTAACTGTGAATCAACAAACAACCAACTCACCAAACAAATAAACACTCTAAGTAATGTCATACAATAGCCAACAGACTTACCAGTTGGGAAGATACACTGGGTCAGCATATTTACTTGCCAAGAACCAAACCCAAGCAATGTCGATGCTAATTCTTGTTTTGCTTCTATAACTTTTTTTCTTAGCCAGCAACACCCATCAACATCATTGACAAGAGGTGACGATACGCCCCTTGGACACTGTTACTTCTTCCTTTCATGTTGGACTGAGGACAGGCACAAAGGTACAAAGTGGGTTTAGGAAACAGGACGTGCTAGTGGTAGCTGGTTAGCTTGCTAGCTTTAGTAGAGACCTCTGCAACAGAAGACTTTTGACATGTTGTGACACAGTTACTCCTTCACATTCTGTTAATAAGTTTAGTTAATTGTTTAATGTTTTAAACTAAAAAAAACAAAAAGAAAAAACTTCCAAACTTATTTTTTCACATGTAGCTACACCATTTAGCAACACTCATGTTAGTGCCCTTTTGTTGTTGAATGCTATGAGGTAATGATGATAAATGGGTTGCTTTCACGCTAATAACATGTTTTAATTAAAAAACAGAAAATTCTTGTTTGTCTTTTCCACATGAGAGTCGAGTCAGTGTGTCACTCAGTTTTCTGTAACCACATAAAGCTGACAGTCCAACATTCTCCACAACATTTGTGGCACTTTTAATGTGAACAAGTGAATGTGACACCAGTAATGTCTTCCAGGAGAGACTCTCTGAATATGTCTGCTGTTGTACTTTTCAGCGTAACCAGAGCCTAAACATTATTTTGTCTTGAAGATTAAAACAATTATCCTGAAATTGACAGTAAGAAACAATCATAAAGTATGTACAGGTGTAGTTTCCAGTAAGTCTGTGCAGCAGTGAGCCTTAATCCCACTATGTCTTCTTTGACCACTGCTGGATTTTGGCAAAACTCCCCTGTGCCTCATTTCCTGCTTCACCTCTCCGCCCCCGCCTCACCCCCGCTCTAACTCCCCTCGCTGCCTCCCACTTCTTCCCCCTCCGAGACACTGAGCTGTGCTTGACGGCAGCGGCTGAGGTTTGGCACGATGCTCCTCCGGCCCACGCCTCGGCTCCTGCTCCAAAACCATCTTTTCCATTCGATTCCAGAGGGAGAGAATGGATGGAGGGAGAGAGGTTAATTTTGTTTTCTCTTCTGTTGAAAGACATACACCAAAAAAGGTTTTTAATTGTGTTGACCGACCAGCCTGTTGTGGCAACATGAAAAAGGAGCTGCACTTCAACTGAAAAGCAATTTCAGCTGCCCTCTTGTCAACATTCCATATCTGGACTCATTATGGCAAACTACATTTTTATTTTATTCACATCTGCTGCCCAGCAAACATTTTCATTCTGAACACATCTGTAATTTGGATTTGTTAAATAAATAGTTGTGTCACGTGGGGGAATTCGGGTTTGGACCCAGGTGCAGATACCACAGCAGGCA